ACCACAAATGAAGCAAATAGACAGAAACACCAGAACATATATATCAACCATAAACCTGAATAGTGTCGTCATCCTCAACATGACAGCAATTAGTAGTTTCCTATATTATATTCATGAGTAGATTCAAATAAAATAATGTTCATTGAACTACCTGCACATACAATTGTAATATCCCGTTTAGTAACATTGGTTCAACCACCATGTAACAGAAACGGTGAAAACCTCAAAGAGAAGAAAGATCGAATGGGCCATTGTTAAAGTTATCAAAGAACACAGACTTTCCCACGAACAGAACTCAAACCTCAAGATGGTACAGGACAAACAAACAAACAAGCACGCAAGTGCCATCACAACAAAACGAGTGCTCTAGCGTGCAAGAGCCCTCTCGCTTCTCGCACAGGTGCAGTCTTTATAATCAAATAGCGCGCCCTCATTGGTGAAGCTGCGCGTTATCGTCACTAAGCATCTTGATGATTGACAGAGAATTAGACCACTCAGGTACCCGCGTCTCCCTGCTGAAAACGAAAGTACAAACAAAGAGAAAAAAAGGGAGGGAAAAACAAACACCATACCCAAAACACATCATAATTGTAACATGGGATGTAACACTTCACCCCATAAAAAAATAAACATACTATGTTTATTAACCAAGCTACACTCTAGACAGAGCATCAGCTAGCACATTCCCAGAGCCCTTTTTATGCTTAATTTCAAGGTTATAGCCCTGAACCACCTACGACCAACACATAAGACGTTGATTCTTATTATACATTCTAGTTAGGAAAACCAGAGGGTTATGGTCCGTATAAGCAACTATAGGTGCACTTGAAGAACCCAGATACACTTCAAAGAACTGCAGAGCCAGCAACAAAGCCAAAGTCTCTTTTTCATGTTTATTAAACTTTTTCGAATAGTAACAAACAGGACGATCTACTCCCAAATCATCCTCCTGCAAAAGCACTGCCCCAGCTCCCACAGCACTGGCATCCACCTCCAATTTAAAAGACCGTTCAAAATTTGGGGCAGCCAAGACAGGAGCACTATATAACATAGCTTTTACTGCCTCAAATGCATTTTGGCAATCCTCAGTCCAGATAAAAGAATTAGCTGGGCTCAATAGACTGGTCAAAGGGGTAACTACCGTAGAAAAGTTTTTACAAAAACTACGGTAGTATCCTGCCATACCCAGAAAACGTCTCAACTCCCACATAGAAGTAGGCACAGGAAAATCTGCAATAGCAGCCACTTTAGCTTCTACAGGCTTTACCTGGCCTTCTCCCACTTCTTTTCCTAGGTAGGTTACACTTGCCTTACCAAAGACACATTTAGATAAATTAAGAGTTAAAGAAGCTTTCTCCAAACGTTCAAATACTGTACAAAGGAGTTTCAGATGTTCTGTCCACTCGACTGAATATAGTACAAGATCATCCAAGTAAGCATTACAATTAGGAACCCCAGCCAACACGGTTTGGATTAATCTTTGAAAGGTGGTAGGTACATTTCGTAACCCGAATGCCATCACGTGATATTGCATAAAACAATCCGGCGTTACAAAAGCAGAGATGTCAGAGGCGCGAGAAGTTAAAGGGACCTGCCAATACCCTTTCAATAAATCCAACTTGCTGACAAACTTGGTGGATCCTAAATTGTCAATGCAGTCTTCCATTCTGGGTAATGGATAACAGTCTGGTACAGTGACTGCATTTACACGACGGTAGTCAGTGCAAAAACGAAACGAACCGGCTGGTTTGTGCACTTAAAGGCAAGGAGAACTCCAAGGGCTACTGCTATGTTTAGCCAACCCATTCTTCAACAAATATTCAGTTTCTTGCTTCATAATGGTTCTCTTAACAGCATTAACCCGGTATGCATGTTGCTTAATAGGGGATGCACCATCAACATTAATATCGTGTTGCAACACAGTAGTTTGCGACGGAACATCTCCAAATAAAGAAGGAAAACCAGTAATAACACCAACAATGTCCTGCCTTTGATCTTCAGAATTACAATTTCAGAATTTTCCAACTTGGCACACTGTTGAAAAGTATTTCGCAGGATTATGTCATCATTTGCACTAACAGAATATGCATCTCTGAATTCAAATCAACTTCCAGCATTTTCTCCTTGAGAACTTTTAGTGGTCCTCTCACAGTGTGTCCAAACACTAACTGAGCTGGACTGAACCCCAAGGATTCTTGCACAGTTTCTCGAATTGCGAACAACACTAGAGGAACACCCTCATCCCAGCCATTTCCAGTTTCCATACAATATTTTCTCAACATCGGTTTTAATGTTTGATGGAATCTTTCAATAGCTCCTTGGCTTTGAGGATGATAAGCACTAGACACTCGGTGTTCTATAGAAAGTGATTTTAAAACTTGTGCAAAAAGTTGAGACAGAAAATTTGTTCCCTGGTCAGTCTGTATCACTTTAGGGAGACCAAACGTGGGAAAAAATTTAAGCAATGTTTTTACAATCACTGGAGCAGTAATTTTTCTCAAGGGCACCGCCTCGGGAAATCGAGTAACTCTACACATGATCGTACACAAAAATTGATTACCACACTTCGTCTTGGGTAATGGTCCAACACAGTCTACAAGCACCTGTTCAAACGCTTCACCCACTACAGGGATAGGTGAAAGAGGAGCAGGTGGAATCAGCTGATTTGGTTTTCCCGTTAACTGACAAATGTGGCAAATTCGACAAAATCTAGCAACATCTCGCTTTAATCCTGGCCAAAAAAAAATGTCTGATAATGCGATTATATGTCTTCGTCACTCCCAGATGACCAGACAGTGCATGTTCATGCGCCAAAGATAGGACATGTCGACGATACTCACTAGGAACAACAATTTGGTAAACTGCACTCCAATCCAAGTCTACGTCAACCACAGGACTCCACTTGCGCATCAACATTCCACCCTCTAAAAAATATGCAATGTTTCCATTTTCAACAGCATCAAGGCTAACAACGTTAGAGAAACATTTTCTTAAAGTTTGATCTTCTTTTTGTGCTGCAATAATTTTGTCACGAGTTATAGGCAGCCTTAAATTAACACTACCAAGCGCCTTTTCTGAGCACTTTAAATTAGTCTGTTTCTGAACCAACTCTGAATTAGTCTTTGTCATACCTTCACCGACCAGATTCTGCACTATGAAAGTATCTGTCAAATCAACATCATCCACAATTTCTCGTGACTGTGACTACGCACGCAGGAAACACATCTGGATAAACTCTAGATAACTCATCAGAGGCTAGACTCATTTTCGGACTCATCAGTTACCTCCAACATGGGCATGACTCTACCCCCAGCTAGGTCATTTCCCAAAATGAAAGTTACTCCCTTAACCGGGAGCGAAGGATGTACACCGACCTTCACATAACCTGTAACGAGCGCACACTTCATGTACACGCGATGTAGAGGAACTTTAACCACTCCCATCTCAATGCCCCTGACAAAGACACTTGAGCCACAATATGAGTCAGATGACAATGATAAAACATCCACCAAAACGAAAGATTGATTTGCTCCGGTGTCCCTTAATATCTGTACCTCTTTTTGTTCATTCCCATCATCAGATAAGGAAATTAACCCCTTCATCACGAAAGGCTTGTAACTAACATCAGGAGCATCCTCCTTCCCTTCGAAAATAAAACGCTCTTCATGACGCATAGCATTCAATAAGCCAACACTTTTAGGCGGCGGTGTCTGTTTACATTTTAAAGCATTACAGTCCGCAATTAAATGGCCCGGCTTATGACAATAAAAACACTCCCGAACGTCTTTAGATGAAGGGACAACTTTCAATCGAGAAGACTGATCAGATATAGGAGGAGGCCGAACGGTGCTCTTATCGGTGCGTGAAGAAAATACCGTCTTATGTGTAAGGACAAATTAATCTGCTAAAACAGCGGCATGTGACAGCGATGACACCTTTTGCTCATTCAAATAAATCACAACACGTCCTGGCAGACAACCTTTAAAATCTTCAAGCAGAATTAATTCTCTCAACGACGCAAAGTCATCAGTTTTACTTGTATTACTCCATTTGTCCAGCAATGCACTTTTCTCTCTGGCGAACTCCACAAAAGTAGACCTAGAATGTTTTTTATGGTTTCGAAACCTCTGCCTATAGGCTTCAGGGACCAATTCATAAGCACGGAGAATGGCTAGCTTTACGGTGTCATATTTTAAACTCTCTTCCAAAGGTAGAGTCGAGAAAACCTCTTGTGCCTTACCTACCAATTTACACTGAAGTAAAATTGTCCATACTTCTTTTGGCCAACAAAGCGAAGTCGCGATACGTTCAAAGGCATTAAAATAGGAATCAACCTCGGTTTCCCTAAAATGAGGTACTAACGTAATATATTTACCAACATCAAACGTGCCCGCTACTGAATTTGAAGCCACCGGTGAAGAGTCAGTCACAACTCGAGAGGGAACTGGCCTAACCGGAGAAAGAACTGGCATAACTTGAGAAGGAACTGATTGGGCGGCTGTACTTCCAACAATTTTCATGGCTTCCAACTCCATCTGTCGCATCTTAATTTGTTTCTCAGCCTCAATCTCAAGTGTGCATATCTTAAGGCGCAAATCCAATTCAGCATGTCGAGTATCAGCTTTTTCCTGAGCTTCCATCTGTAAATGAGCTATCCGAACCTTTATATCTGCTATAATAGTGGATAAATTCTAGCATTAACTCTGAGGATCTGTATTATCTTTTAGTACGATTAAGACCATTGTACCACTTGCCCTGAAACTATTCAAATGAAACCAAACATGACTGTAAATCTTATTTGCATTCATTTAGAACATTATATTCTTGACCAGTTTGAGTGAATGAAAAGATGAAAAGGCACAGATGCATATGTGAGAGAGGTGTTTCCCGCACCACCCCTCTGTGGGGTGTCCTGAAGATGCCAGTGCATTGTTTGCCTCTCAGGAGATCAAAGTATTCTAGTTTCTTTTATCCTTACACAGGTCTTGTTGCTTCACAATGGGGACACACACATGAACATTGCCTCTATCAACATAAAGCTACAGTGAGTACTGCTTTTTTAATAATTAAGCTCTCTGAATAACTGATATTGTGCTAATATAAAGATATTAAAATTGATCTGTAATGTTAAAAATATTAAATAAATATCATATGAGTAATGGAATCAATCCAATAGCCCCTGCACTACATCTTACCCCACTGTTACATACTTCATATCATTGGTTTAGCAATAAAAAACAACAAACGGACAAACAATAACAATAATAATAAAATGCATTGTATTTAAAATAAGCAAAAGAGCAAAACTGCTGCAAAACTCAGAAATGAAAAATAATCACAGAAGAAACTCAATAGTTTTTAATAATCAATTATTAGACCCTATACCATAAAATCACAATAAAGAACAACACATTTTAAAATTAAAAGTATAACATCCAGGAAAAGATGCAAAAGTTAAAGGCATGATATTCAAAATAAATATTCAAGTAGGTATCTCTCGTATTAAGTGAATGTTGTCAAAAAACAAGCAACCATTTTATAACATTATTCCATGTGGAGTGTAATGCAAGACAAAATGAAAGCAGAAAGTTTGTTTTGACTTAAATTCATTTTCTGTACCTCTGACTTTTTGAATGGAATGTCGACTAGAGCTAGAATTAGGCTAGAAAGGGTTATCAGATCACCACCTGTGCTACCATCAGAAGAAAAACGTGCCTATTCATGTGACAAAACCATACAAACAATCATTAACAGGCTTTTCTCGATTACATTAACTCAGGCCTAGTGGACAAAAACCACAATTGCACAATTAACTATTCGTGCAAATTAATAATTGTTTAATCTAGAATGGCTTGTCAAGATAAATGTGGATCAACACACATTTTTACTGAATGTTCTTGTGGATATTTACAGTTACCTGAAAATAGAGTAAAGTAAATCTGATCTAAAACCAAAGTCACAGTGGTGTATTTGTGCACCTAACAGATAGTAAGTTATTTTATTAGAACTGCATGTTTAGAGGCACTTCTTACAATTGGTGATTTGCTACTAGATTTTGGGGTTAATCTGAATCACATAGAAAAGTTATAAAAGGTAATTTAATGACAAACTAACTAACTTTATGGGTCATAGTGTTGTACAATAAATAACCTTCAGTAAAATCTGGGCAAAAATAATTAACAGGATAAATCATGTTTCATCCATCCCTTTTTACTGAATTACATCTTTACATCAGTGAACTTAATTTATAACATTTTATCTTTTTTTCCAAGCATCTTATAAGGTAATATTATTGCAACATTTTCAAATATAAAAGTATTATAATAAGTATTATTATTAACATTGATTTAATAGCTCCTCAAAAAGCACAATCACAATGTTTACAATTTAAAATTAAATGTGCAATAAAGAAAAAATACTTGTGGATTTTAAAAAGGCACAAAAACATTAATAATGAAACAAAAAATAAAAGTGATCGATTACAGTTACAGTAAACGCTCAGCAGATGCATTAGCAGTGCTTTGTGAGGTATGCGTAATTATGTGCATGATAACGAAAGTTATAGTAAACTATTTGTGTATGTGTACTTCAGCACTGTCTTTTACCCATTCCAGAGGTCATGTCTCACCTCACACTGAACCTTCAGTGCCATAGAACCAGACAATCTCTGCCCACTTGTGTCCCTACTTGCATAAAAACAGCTCATGTGATCCAGACCTAGGGGAGTGGACTGGGTCGAGTTCTCAAATAAGGTTTAGCCAGGAGACAATGAAGCCTCACAATAAAATATTATCCTGTAATCGTATGTCAGTAGTAAATATGAACCTGACCCAGCATGTGCAGTCAAAACAGAAAAAAGATGATGTTTTTGACATCGTATTCATTCTATATGAATAGACATGTGTCAGATTTTTCTCAGTTGTAATGAAGAACCTGAAAAAGTTTCATCCTGTAGAGATACCAAGCTATTTTGGAGAGGATTTTGCTGAAGACAAGGGGTGGGGAGGAGGCTTTGTCAGAGGGTGACCTTCCCCACTGGAGTGATGTCTCTGTCTGTCTGTCTACACACGAGAGCGGGAGGTCAAGTTGAGCCTTAGAGGCTGTCTGCTCCTGAATGGCAGGAACCACAGGATCTTCCAACGAGTGCCAAACACCTCAGCCATCGCTTGCTGCCACGACCGGTGCGGTCCACTGGGGGCATAGAATAAATTAAAGTATGCATCTTAAGTCGATGCAAAATAATATCACATTTGAAAAATTAACAATGCAGAGAAACTAAGAGCTTTAGGAGAGACGAGGTCTAGTTGTCACACATTTTACTTCAGTGAACATTTCTAAGCGCATTCAGTTCACTTTTTAAAATCAAAATATATTCTGTATAGAGACACACACCCTAAACATCTTGGCTTTAAAAAAGCTATTGTACAAAGTTACTGCACTAGAGGAAAGACGGTTTATTGACCTAGTTGATCTATTGTGCCCAATAGTGGGGCATGTTTATAATGAATCATTTTATTAAACAGTCTAAGAGAGGTTTTCCAGTTAAAGGAAATATTGAAATACAAACAATTTAGAAAAAACACATAAGTACAAACATCAAACCACTGTTTTAGCCATAAGTGTTAAAACTTTAGGGCTGGTCCAAATACCATTTTTTGAGCTTCGAAGCTTCGGTAGTAATCAACACCGAATATTCGAAGCTTCGGAGGGAGGGGGCTGAACATATTCTTCTCTCTAATAAAAGGCAGGAATCTGTGTGTCTCTGTCTGTTTGCATTATTATTACGTCGAGAACCGTTCATCCAATCGACTTCACGCGTGGCGGATGTGTTGCTTCGGACCCAAGGGAGTGCAGTGTGCATTTCGGTGCAATATGGACAGGTGACATGTTCAGGATTAATACACTTTTAATAAACTATAGAACAGCGCGAGCCGGAAGCGGCGCGCATCGCTTGGAGAATGGACACGGCACTAGTAATACAAAACACACAGCTCTGTTAAGAGCCATACTTTTGATATAGACAAATTACTATTAGGCTGGGCTACTGTACGTTTTTTTTTATGACTGCCGTATTCCCAAGTATTTTCCAAGCAAATTAAAGCCACGTTTTTATCATGTGTAAAATTACTGATGGCGGATAAAAACATCTCGTTTTTTACACCAACAATATAGGCGTACTTACAGAACTCAGATGATTTTTCAAACTTGATGTGCTGTTGTGGTAGGCCAGTTTCAAATCACATATTTGGCACACTAGAGCCCTGCATTTCAGCCCGGGCCCGACTTTTTTTAAAATCTGCCCGAAGCCCGGCCCGATTTTCAACTGCGGTCAAGCCAGCCGCGCTTTGAAAATGCACGGTCAAGCCAGCCGCTGTTTTTTTTATTTTGCGCGTGTAATTGTGCACTTACGGTACGGGTGCTGAGAGCAGTCAAAATGCATGTAAAGAAGCTGTCATACCGATGTTTCCTTTATAATTCGCTTATTTTACCTTTTATTTTTAGTCTGTAAATACATTATTTTTGTACATAAACGTTTGTATTGTACATTTATTATTATAAATAATTTATTAATGTTTATAAATGTTCATATTAATGTTTTATATTCATTGTTTTTTTTATTTAATGTTTGTGTGTGTGTGAGTGTATATATATATATATATATATATATATATATATACTGTATGTGTGCGTGTGTATAACAACAAAATGCGTCCTAGCACTTGCACTGCTTCCAACACTCATAGACACGGCACTAGTAATACAAAACACACAGCTCTGTTAAGAGCCATACTTTTGATATAGACAAATTACTATTAGGCTGGGCTACTGTACGTTTTTTTTTATGACTGCCGTATTCCCAAGTATTTTCCAAGCAAATTAAAGCCACGTTTTTATCATGTGTAAAATTACTGATGGCGGATAAAAACATCTCGTTTTTTACACCAACAATATAGGCGTACTTACAGAACTCAGATGATTTTTCAAACTTGATGTGCTGTTGTGGTAGGCCAGTTTCAAATCACATATTTGGCACACTAGAGCCCTGCATTTCAGCCCGGGCCCGACTTTTTTTAAAATCTGCCCGAAGCCCGGCCCGATTTTCAACTGCGGTCAAGCCAGCCGCGCTTTGAAAATGCACGGTCAAGCCAGCCGCTCTTTTTTTTATTTTGCGCGTGTAATTGTGCACTTACGGTACGGGTGCTGAGAGCAGTCAAAATGCATGTAAAGAAGCTGTCATACCGATGTTTCCTTTATAATTCGCTTATTTTACCTTTTATTTTTAGTCTGTAAATACATTATTTTTGTACATAAACGTTTGTATTGTACATTTATTATTATAAATAATTTATTAATGTTTATAAATGTTCATATTAATGTTTTATATTCATTGTTTTTTTTATTTAATGTTTGTGTGTGTGTGAGTGTATATATATATATATATATATATATATATATATATACTGTATGTGTGCGTGTGTATAACAACAAAATGCGTCCTAGCACTTGCACTGCTTCCCATTTTCCAACACTCATAAAAAGTGTTCCTTTATAGGTTAGCTCATTCTTTCAATTGATTTGTGTTCAGAGTGAGCCTGACTATCACTGTATTTATTTCCAAAGCATTTTACTGTATGGTTTTGGAGAAAACTAAAAGCAAAATCACCCCAAACAACAAAATCCATTGTTGCACTTGGATTATTTCCGCATATTCAAACACTCATAAAAAATGTTCCTTTATAGGTTAGCTCATTCTTTCAATTCACATGTATTCAGAGTGACCCTGACTATCACTGACTTCATTTTTAAGGCATTTTACTGTATAGTTTTGGAGAAAATTAAAAGCAAAATCACCCAAAACATTAAACTCCATTGTTGCACTTTGATTATTTCCGCTTATTCAAACACTCATATAAAATGTTCCTTTATAGGTTAGCTCATTCTTTCAATTGATTTGTGTTCAGAGTGGGCATGACTATCACTGTATTTATTTCCAAGGCATTTTACTGTATGGTTTTGGAGAAAACTAAAAGCAAAATCACCCCAAACAACAAAATGCGTCCTTGCACTTGCACTGCGTCCCACTTTCCAACACTCATAAAAAGTGTTCCTTTATAGGTTAGCTCATTAATTCAATTGATTTGTGTTCGGAGTGAGCCTGACTATCACTGTATGTATTTCCAAGGCATTTTCCTGTATGGTTTTGGAGAAAACTAAAAGCAAAATCACCCCAAACAACAAAATGCGTCCTTGCACTTGCACTGCGTCCCACTTTCCAACACTCATAAAAAGTGTTCCTTTATAGGTTAGCTCATTCTTTCAATTGATATGTGTTCAGAGTGGGCCTGCCTATCACGGTCTTAATTTTCAAGGCATTTTACTGTATGATTTTGGAGAAAACTAAAAGCAAAATTACCCCAAACAACAAAATGCATCCTTGCACTTGCACTGTGTCCAATATTCCAACAGAGTGACCCTGATTCCCTTTCAAGGGAAATTCGAACTGCGTCCTCTAGGGAGCGCTATGGGGAACGCCTCGTCGTGATCCGTGTCTGAAGCATACATTGAAAAAACACCAACCGGCGACAGCCCATGACGTCACTACCGGTGCGACTATTATGTCATTCTCTTCTTCGTCTTCAATGACTGTTTTATTTGAAGCGTGCATTTGAACATGGTAAGAGCGATCTCTATCCTATTATTATGGCGAGCACTAGCAGAACGTTTAGAGGATGTGTGCATCCGTGTCGTCGCTATTTGACACCTGATGACACACACGATCTCTGCGTTCTTTGTTTGGGCGAGGAGCATGCACGCGATATCCTTGAGGGGGCAATTTGCGTGCATTGTGTGCGTTTTTCGATGAAAAAGCTCCGCTCTCGTTTGTCTCTTTTTTCAAGGAAAAGGGGCAGCCATCTGCTTCCCGCGGTTCAGGACCCGCCGCTGCTGAGGCACAGAGGAGAATGAGCTCGTGGGGATCGCACGTGGACCTGGCCGATGAGTTTAAAGAGGGGCTTTCCCTCTCACGCTCGTCGGGTGTGGACGAGAAAGAGCCACTGGAGGATAATGTTATTTCTCTAACATCGTCTAATCCGGGCGCCAGTGCTCTGCTGGGTTCAGCCCAGGAGGAGCAGGAGATGTCTGAGGATGGCGAAGAGGCTGAGGCTGAGCCTTCCCAATCCTCCTGCCCTGCGTATGATGAGCTGTTGGAAGTTATGGATCGCGCCACGGCAAGGCTGGACTTGCCGTGGAAGCGGGCCAAGAAAGTGACATCGCGAGGTCACCTTGATGAGCATTTTCTTTCTGGCCATAACCCTCCAGCTCAGGTGAGCCTTCCATTTCTTTCTGATTTGCATACTGCGATCGAGAAGCAATGGAAGAGGCCGTTTTCCTTATGCATCTATTGGTTCCAGCATACGAGTTATGCCAACATCGAGGCGATGCGTGAAAACAGCTATGAGAGATGGCGAAGAGGCTGAGGCTGAGCCTTCCCAATCCTCCTGCCCTGCGTATGATGAGCTTTTGGAAGTTATGGATCGGAAGTTATGGATCTGCTGAAAGACCTGGATAAAGGCGAGGGCCTTTCTCTTGATGAGGTAGCTGAGCTGCGCCACACCACGGATCTTGCTCTCTGTGCTACTAAGCAGGCCGCCTCCGCTATGGGCAGGTCTATGGCGGCAATGGTAGTAACGGAAAGACATCTGTGGGTGAACCTGGCAGATATCAGGAAGAAAGAGAGGGGCTTTCTTCTCGATGCGCCGGTTTCACCTTCCAAACTTTTCGGTACCTCCGTTGAGACGGTGGTCGAGAAGTTCAGGGAGGCGAAGGCGCGCTCAGCGGCCTTCAAATCCTTCATTCCACGAAGGTCCAGGTCTGAGCCCGAACAACCTGGTCCTGGTCCGTCTCAGTCTGAGGATCAGAGATGGCCACAGAAGGCTAATGTCGTGGCTCGCGCTCCTCCTCCGCCTGCGGGTAGGGGTAGGAGGAATCGTGGGTCAAAGGGAGGTAGGCAAGACCTTAGAGATGTGATCCAGACAAGGCGTCAGCGCTTTCGTCCAGATCAGAGTGATACTTGAGTATCTACTCATTTCCTTCAGGGGTTTTAAATCTGCCCTTTTCTCCCCCTTCCTAATTCCCCTATGACCACCAGCACTCCACCTGACCGAGGTTAGGTGGGAATTTCCTGCATTACA